GTTTGAAAGTTATCTGTATCTATCTATTCAGTACATCGAAACAAACACCGGTATTTATTGGCAGGACATTCAAGAGTATGTAACCATAACGAGAACACAGCGCCTTTCAGAATATCATTGATGTTGTTTGTGACATTACTGAGGTATCACAATAAAGAAAGTATAAAGAAGAACAATTGTTTCCAGACATTGTATTTTACAAGCATCAGAGTCACGTGTGAAGCATGCAGCTAGCAAGACATCATCATCACCACTATCGATACGACCATCTTTCACCTCGTCTATACCCTTTAAATCGACTCCTCCTGTAGCAAAACTAAAGACGAACCTGGGTGTGACATCGACGTACACAACGAAGAACAGAGCTGGTCTACACAGCAGTAAGCGAAGAGCTTCAATTCCGATGGTAACAGTAACTCTCTGATTGTATATTTGTCTCCCCTTTTCCTTGAGTGTTGAACGTTGGAAAGATCCCCTGGTAACTCCCCGCAGCGCCATTTACCTAAGACTAATGATCTATTTGTGCCTCCGCACTGTTCACTTGGTCCCAAAGGGCCCTCACAACACCCAGCTTGTCATACATCAGTTCACCAACAAGTGGTGCAAAACCGGCCAGTATATCTGCATGTTCATTTCATCACACCAGCATACCTAGAGAATTTTAATTTGCTATAAGCCACTAAGACACTGTTTCTGCCTCTCGGCACTGCCATCTGTGTATAGTCACATCAGCGTGGCAGTAATTGATTGCCATGAATTAGTTCAGGAAATTCTTATCATGCTACGTCTGTTAGCCAATCCAAGAACTCCCGGACCAGTGTGTTTAGAACCCTACGCAAGTCACATTTTCGCTCTAACATTCCATTTTTTCGTAAGCATACGGACATCTCTGATTGTGTCTTCTGCTGGCGCCATCGAAGAAATCGGTGATCCCTGGCTATAATCTCAAGGTTGAGATTATAATTTCCGACTCCGTCCTTGGTTTCGCGCATGTAATTATTCCAGAAATCCCCAATTATTGTTCCTGGGGCTACGGGGTTTGTACTTTGGGCGACAAGTCACTTGGGTTAAAATCCGGTGCTATGAGGTCACAGCTCTTGTATTTTAACAATGCAAACTGGCATACTCCCCGTCTATGGCTTAAGTGATGGAAATAAGTCTCGTCATTCCGAGATACCCGGTTCGATTCCAGCTGTGGGGGATTTGGCAGCAGACTGCTTATTGGTGATTTAAACAACGGTACCGAGAGCCGTCGACCAATAATAAGAAGACTGGATAGATAAAACCAGCAACGACAATGTCTTCGAAGACGTTAATTCGTGAAGAGAACTGATTGCTGCACAGGAAAGCGACAATCGACATTCTTCAGTTTCGTTATGAGAGGCAGAAAACTGGGGTACATTGTGGTGACAATGACAACAAGTAAAGGGGACATGAGAGAAGCAAAATGGGATACATTGTGGTGACAATGACAACAGGTAGAGGGGACAAGAGTTAGAGGGACACCAAGAGAGAAGATGCTGGTCACTTAGACATTTTGGCATAGGAGAAGATCTGGGTCAGTAACGATTGCTAATGCATGAGATAGAAGGTTATGGACAGAGCATTATTTAAAAATGAGAAAACCAGAAGCAGCCGTTTCACAAGAAATGACAAACCAGTGAACATAAAATTGCCTAGTGAAATCAGAAATAGAAAACACAAACATGCTTAGATTTGTTGTGCAATACTATGTAACGGATATTCAGCTAACTCATCGAGCAAACAAACAAACCAGAACATCTGACCCTGCTTACATGCATGCCCGCTGGCTCATCAAGCAAACAAACAAGCCAGAACATCTGACACTATTTACATACGTGCCCGCTGGCTCATCAAGCAAACAAACAAACAAGAACAAGAACATCCGACCCTGCCTACATGCATGCCCGCTGGCTCATCAAGGAAACAAACAAACTAGAATACCTGACCCTGCTTACATGCATGCCCGCTGGCTCATCAAGCCAACAAACAAACAAGAACATCTGACCCTGCTTACATGCATGCCCGCTGGCTCATCAAGCAAACAAACAAACAAGAACATCTGACACCACTTACATACGTGCCCGCTGGCTCATCAAGCCAACAAACAAACAAGAACATCTGACCCTGCTTACATGCATGCCAGCTAGCTCATCAAGCAAACAAACAACAAAAACATCTAACACTACTTACATACGTGCCCGCTGGTTCATCAAACAAGCAAACAAACAAACAAGAACATATGACACTACTTACATACGTGCCCGCTGGCTCATCAAGCAACCAAACAAACAAGAACATCTGACACTACTTACATACGTGCCCGCTGGCTCATCAAGCAACCAAACAAACAAGAACATCTGACATTACTTACATACGTGCCCGCTGGCTCATCAAGCAAACAAACAAACAAGAACATCTGACTCTGCTTACATGCATGCCCGCTGGCTCGTATAGGTAGCGATTGTACTGATCAACCAGACACTGGGTCCGGTTGCGGAAGCTGCTGAGTGAGGCAGCATCCCAGAAGGACCCGTGTTTGTTTTTCGTGTTGTACTGGATCCCTGGAGATTATACCAAGCTGGTACACATGACTGTTTCTCTGTCTATAGGCATGTAGCCGTGTGTGTTTCTGTAGGTATGTAGGTAAGTCGATGTCTGTATGTCTGCCTGTCTATCTGTCTGTCTGTCTTTAGGCATATAGCCGTCTCAGTGTCTGTAGGTATGTAGGTAGGTCGATGTATGTCTATCTGTCTATCTGAAGACATGTAGCCGTCTGTGTGTCTGTTGGTATAGAGGTAGATCGCTGTCTGTGTGTCTGTTTGTCTTTAGTATGTAGGCGTCTGTATGTTTGTCTGTCTGCACTATGTAGGCGTCAGTGTGTCTGTCTGTCTGTACTATGTAGTCGTTTGCGTGCTATACTAATTAGCCGTCTATGTGTCTGTGTGTCTGGACTATGTAGCCGTCTGTGTATCTGTATGTATGCACTATGTGGCCGTCTGTGTGTCTGTCTACTATGTAGGCGTCTGTGTGTTTGTCTGTCTTTACTATGTCGCCGTCTGTGTGCTGTACTATGCAGCCGTCTTTGTGTCTGTGTGTCTGTACTATGTAGGTGTTTGTGTGTCTGTCTGCATGTGTAACTGTCTGTGTATCTGTCTGTACTATGTAGCCCACTGTCTTTCTATACTATTTAGATGTCTGTGCGTCTGTCTGTCTGTACTATGTAGCCCTCAGTATGATTGTCTGCCTGTAATATATAACCGTCTTTGCGTGCGTCTGTCTGTCTGTTCTATGTAGCTGTGACGATAAGCTCGGTGACTTCAGAATGTCTTTTCTCAACCTACTTTTATTTCTATGTATTTTAAAGTATACAGAAATAAATGGATTTGGATACATCCTTAATCTTAGTAGGCGACCTGAACAAACATTTTGGTGATATCAAACACTAAAACTTTTTCCCAGATGTTAAGTATTAAGGTACAGAGATAAGCCTAACAAGCTCAGACTTTGTGACTGGATTTTTCGCTTGCCAAAACTTTGGTGTCAGATATTTGTCTCAAAGACAGACTTTTAGGAACAGATAACCCAGGCTAATTGGATTATCTCCCCCTGAGGTTACCCAACTTGAGGGCAGGGCAGACGGCCAGTATTGACATAAGGCAGCCGAAAGTGTTAGCAGAAGAATTGACATGGTCGGATAAAAGTGACGGCAGGACCAGCTTGTTAACCAGGAGAATGTAGCATGGGAATGTAAAAAAGTTTTGTACAGTCTTGACTGAAAGTTAATAGACTCACCCACGGGGTGGAGCTGTGACATCCTTGAATGAGAGTGGTTTCAGGAGTAATGTAGGAGGAGCTTAGGAGAAGTTATAAGAGGGTGATTCTAGAACTGGGAATGAGACTCTGCTGCCATCTGTTGGGTTTAAAACCTAAGCTTGAGACAGAACTTTTGGCATTGTGTTTGCATATTCCAGGTAAGAAGCGAAATTAGTTTCAAAACCTTTATTTCTGATAGAAATCTTGTCTTTTTGCTTAAGTGTGTGTCTTCATCACTTTTGTAGTACTCCTAGGCGGAAATTTCTCCATTCTCTTAGGGCACTGTAACATTGCTTTATATCGTAATTGATATTGTCATAGATGTTTTTCGTGCATATGTGTTTCAATATTGTAAAACTTAAATGTTGATGTTACCATCGAAATTTAATGAACTATCATGTTTTGTAAACCACAAGCGTGAAGATAACTTTAGCAATCTTGTCACGTGTAGTTAATGTGAATCTGTATTACATACAGCTAACACACTGAAATGTGTTTAACTCCCCGGAGGCTAATGCGGAGACTGATCCCGGAGAGTAAATCCTTGAGATTTGTTATTTGATTCGCCCCAGAAATATTGTTAGCATTCTGATCGCGTCCATGGTTCCAAGCATAGATTCCAGAACTTGTTCTGTCTGACTGATTGTCATTTTAAGTCTGTACGAGAGATGACATCAGACATAGAAGACTTGACTATAATTACAGGACGTGAGTAGTCACATATGTATCTGTCTGTACTAGGTAGCCATCTGTGTGTCTGTACTATGTTGCTATCAGTGTGTCTGTCTTTACTATGTAGCCATCAGTGTGTCTGTCTGTCTGTACTATGTAGCCGTCTGTGTGTCTGTCTGTACTATGCAGCCGTCTGTTTATACTATTTAGCCATCAGTTTGTTCTGTCTGTCTGTACTATGTAGCCGTCTGTGTGTAATATGTAGCCGTCTGTGTGTCTGTCTGTACTATTAGGCCGTCTGTGTGTCTGTCTGTACTATGTAGCCGTCTGTGTGTCTGTCTGTACTATATAGCCGTTTGTGTGTCTCTCTGTCTGTACTATGTAACCGTCTGCGTGTCTGTCTGTAATATGTAGCCGTCTGTGTGTCTGTCTGTACTATGTAGCCTTCTGTGTGTCTGTCTGTACTATGTAGCCGTCTGTGTGTCTGTCTG